AACCACAAAGGCAGTCGAGCATATTAAAGAGCTGTTTCTTATCATTCTGAAACTTCACACGGCACAAAGGTGACCACAACTATCCCAGAGTGCATCATTCGACCAGCCGTGGCTCCTCTTCCCTGACCAAAGCCTGGTTTTTCATTCGCCCTGTCTCCAGTTTCGGTTTCGTTTCGGCCGAGAGACAGCCGTGGCCCGCGTCTGATGTTCTCAGAAAAACAAAGAGGTTTCGGTTGCCTTTTTTGCATGTGGCTGCGCGTCAAAAGGCGCACAGCGTTTCCCCCCGCAGCGGATTGTTGGGCAGACTTGCGGCTACGCTGGTGGTAACATATTGAAAAGAAAGAGAAAACAAACACACACACACACACACACACGCCACACCTCCACATTTCCAGGAGTGATGTTGTGACATCACTGTGTGGTAACAGACATCCACGTCTTGTTATCTTAAAAAAGAGGGCGTGTGTTTCTGTATTTGTAGTCTGAGAGGTGTTGTTATTCCAACATTAAAAAGATAACAATGACCAAAAGGAAATGTTGAAAATCTATAGTGAAGTCCCTCTTATCAAAAGCTTTGTCAAACTAAAACTCCTGTTGAGCAGTAATGGCTTTTATTACTTTTATTTATTGTCCATTAAAAAATTCTTCTTATATATAAAAAATGCTTAGAATAATGCTTTTCCCCTTTGTCTGCCCTGGTGACCTAGATGGGCAGAAACATGAGCAATGAGTGGGAATGAGTAGCCCATCTGTGTGGAAAATGATGACCGAGCTAGAAAGTTGTGTTTTTTCCTTTTCTTAATTGTATCTTTTTCAATTCCTAGGCGCATATAGTCGAGGAGATCCATTGGTCTAATAACAACTGAACTCAGCTTTTTAAACAAGTGGTTTTTAATTTTTCTGTTATGTTCCTGGAGCTGGCTCCACGGCTGGGACCACCCGTTACCGAACCTGGACTGTTCTGACCACGCCTCTGCCCAGCCCCAGTCTGTTAATAAACTCTGTTAAACTGACCGTACGTCTCTGGTTGCTTTTGGGTCCGTATTACGTTCATTACATTTTCATCACACTGTACATTCAAGAAAAACAGCTTGGCTTTGAACCACTCGACTTTATTTTACCAAATGATGTCACTGGTCGAGACTCAAAACAGTATTCCAGTAGTTTGGAATATAACTGGCATTTTCCCAGCCATTCTCTCTTATTTGTCATGCTTCCAACTTCCCATAAGAATTCCACTATAAATGACGTGAACATAACCACCCCAACTATTAAAATCCAAAAGTGCAAGCTCTGATGTAGGCAAGTTTGAAAAATGAGGAAGTTCTACGGACTAATATTGAAGGTTGTATCACTTAAAAAAATCCTTTAAGGTGCACGGTAAAATATGTCCGATCTCTGTGGTGAAAACACACCCTGTAGATAAGCAGAGGTGGGACTGTTAACAAACACTCCAGCCCTTTGGGGCTTTCTTTTCAAGAGAGAGCCAATATGAGGAGTCAAGTCACCCAATCGTAACGTGAGTTTGCTGTTTGTTGCCACACCCAGATACAAACTGGTCTCGTCTTGTTGCCGAAACAACCTCCCAAGGAAACCTCCTCGGAGAAATGAGGCTGCTGAGCGCCTCCAGGCTGCAGGAGCTTTCTGGGTCTGGTTTCTGATTCACATCCATGGCAGCTGAGGCAGAAAGACAAACAAACAACAAAAAAAAACACTCTTTTGCCGAGAGAAGAGTTGAGCCACGCCGAATGTGCAGGCATTGTCTCTAATTAACCCCCAACAATCAGTTTGTTAGCCCGATTCTTATATTGGAGGCCTGAGGGTAAACCAGAGAAATGATCAGAGTGCAAGTGAGTCCTTTTTTTGGGTGGCAGGTAAATTCACTCAGCGCTGGGCTCTTAATTGACAAATCTCTTCTGATAGGATCTCTGTCAGAAAAGTGCCCGGATTTCCGGGTTTGATGGACATCTATGTTCTTGGGCTGGGCCTGCCCCGTACAGCAGGAAGGCTGGACACAACCAGAACCCTCTGACCTGATCAGGACAAGGTCCTAATCCATGCACGTTTCACTGAGATGTGATAAGAAATGTGTATATAAGTATCTAATGTCTCGTAGAAAGAAGAGGAACTTGGGAATGCAACCACAGACAGCCCAGCGTCGGAGCATCATTCTTAAAATCAACAAAACATGCAATCCAGAAATAAAGTAAAAGTCTAAAACTAGTAAATATAAGATGATCCTAACAGCATGTGACATTTTTAAGGCAAAAAAGGCTTGCACACGGACAGTGTGGAACAGTGAAAGCAGAAGAGTTATGGGTCGTTTTTCTCTTTTTCTAGAGGAGGTTTGATGTCAGGCTGCCCCCTTTTTTTCTCAATTTCTCTGCCTCTCCTTTGGTCAGGCTGCTCCTTCACGCCGTGGTCTCCGAACACATCCGAGTCAGATCCCTGACCTGCGACAAGTGTTGAGCGGATGAGCGGACAAAAAAAAGAGGGGGTTTCAACAAGAACTTCATCCCCAGGAAGTGATCAATAAGTCTCACCTTCAACCCAGTGGCGAGCTCCGGGAGCGAAGTGGTTTCGGACCCTGTTCAGGGAAAAAAAGAAATAAAAGAGAAACCAGAGGGATTGAAAGAAGCCACATCTCCTGACTGCTTGAGCTCCATCAGTAAGATAAACCTACGAGATTTGAGCTACAGCTTTTGAGGCAGCCGGCTGGATTTTGGCCCGAAACAGGCAGGTTAGAAGTCACTGGTTCAATTCAGCGCTTTCCCCAAACAATCTAAACACCAAGAGAGCTTTGTGCGTTTTTTTTTGAGTGGCAGGGTCTTAAAATACATCGGCTAGTGTTCTGCTCCCTCACGACTCTCTCAGCCATGTCCGACAGCGTCTCCTACCTGCGAGCGATTGCCTCGGTCCCCGGAAGCACTCCAAAAGAAGCCGTTACCATGGCGGAAAACATCCGAACGAGCTGCCTCACCTAAAACACACACAGCTTCAGTGTTTGATTCCCAAAAAAAAAAAAAAAAAAAACACTGCTGGTCTGACACTCAAAACTACAAAACATGGAAAATACTTTGAATTGTTGCTTTCCCCTCGGCAAATTGCAAAAAGATTCCAATTTAACATCCTAAATGAGTCCTTTCATTACAGAACATGTAGTCTAGACGTGAGTTTGACGGTAACTTACTGACTTGCAAGGCAAAGAGACGGAGGAAAGGTTTATTTTCTTTAGTGGTTTTTAATTTCTTCCCATTTTTTTTGCATGCCCAAAAGATCGAGTATACTCGACCTGGCTAAGAGTCAATAAACTGGAAAGAGAAACCAACAAAGAGGAACTAACCCCAATCTGTACACTAAGTATAATACGTATAAATAACAGGGAGCCAACAGTTAGGGTCCACCATCTCCAAAGGGAATGTGAATGACCAAATGCCTCGTTTCAGGTTGACGTTTGAGCTCAATAAGCCCTGTCGCCGTACCGTTTGCAGCTCTTCTCCCTCTCCGTCCTCTTCTTTTGGTTGGGCTGCCGTTTCCTGGTCCGTCGTCACTGAGATTTTCAGATCAAGGAACGTTGCCTGAAATATTTTCAATAATGTGAGTGTTGGGAGCGAAACACAACGTGCGGGCAAACTTCTGTTAAGTTAACTTTGGCTGTGGAGGATGGGTTGAACTTTTTTTTTTAAAGATAAACTTTTAAGATAAACTTTATCAACGTATTGCAGCGCACCACTTTGCAGATACATCGGGAAAAAGAACACCGGGGAAGGAGAGGGGGGAGAGGTTAAACAAATGTAAGGTGTACTGCACAGTAGAACCTCTACATACGAATTGAATCGCATCGTATGTTAAAATATTTGTATGGTGGTTCAAAAATTCCCATCAGATTACACTGTAATTCCTATAATTCGTTCCACAACCCAAAAACCTACGATAACTCCTTAATAAATACTCCAGATAATAACACAAAGCGATAAAACAAATGCATTATATAAGAGAGTTGTAAAAAGAAAGAAATTCTAAAGAAATAATCAACAAAAAGGCTGTTTTATTGGCACTTACTGGCGAACAGAGGTTTAGCTTAGCGATGCAGGAGACAGTCGGTGTGGACACTGGGATACAGTATGTACTTTTTAAATGAACTTTAAACTAACTAAGCTTATTTATTTTAATTTTTGGACAGAGCGTCCATCTGCAGTTTCCATGAGGGCAAAAGTTGCTAAGGCGCAGCTCTAAGGCCGCTCTCAAGAGGTGGGAAGCCGCATTTATACCGAGCCACCCGATTTTGAAATCCGGTTTCTGTGCATTTGTTTTGAAACCTGGTGTCGCAGCACAGCGGGAACCCACGCTACCTGTGAGAGCCCGCGTCCGCCTCCGACTCTTCCCCCCGGTCCCACTGGTTTTTCTCGGGCCTCGGTGTTTGAAAACCTCTGCGCCAGCTCCCTCACCTGGACGGCGTCCCCCCTCCTTTCACCGGGAGCCCACTCCACCTTCCGGCCGCGGCCCAAATCAGGCCGCGCCGATCCAGACGCTGTAGAGAACAACAGTGGGCACCTCTTCCTTTTTTGTCCCTTCTCCAGCGCTGAAAACCCATCTGGCTGAAAGACCTCGGTACGTACGTGGCGTCGGATCCTCCTCCGGCGAGTGTTTGGCGGCGTGTGCTGCTGCTGTTTGTGTAGCAGACAGAACTCCGCCGCTCTGTGGAAAAAGGCAGTAAAGAATGAAAATTGCATCGAAATAACAGTAAATTAATTAGGTTTATTCTTTTTCTCTTTGGTCTAGTATAGATCGAGCATTCTCCCCCATAATCCGCCAAGGGAGGTTTAAGGTAGCTCAGCATCTGAGCTGTGCTCTGAAGGGAGAAAAGACTTTTAAACCACACACAAAAGCTACTTCGGGCACCAGAGGCATCCGCCTGAGTCGATCCATCGCCATATTTAGTAACAAAATAACTACCATCTTATAGGTATGATCCTTTTTTTTCCGAAAGCAGCAGCAGGTATGTTTGCGTTCTACTTGGCAATGGTGACAAATGAAAAAGAACAAAGAAAACACCTACTGTAACAGTCGCTCTCTTCACCTTCTCTGATGTCTTTTCTCCCGGTGGACATTTTCCTCTCACACAACTCAGAGTCTCTTGCTCCATCTGCGGTTTGGACTTCTCGCGCTTCGCCTTCAGCGAAACGGAGTGGCTTCTCCTCGGTGGAACTGGGGGGGGATTCGACAGCCGCTTCCAGGCTGATGTCTTAGTCTGAAAAGATGGCAGTTAAACTTCCATCCATCCACTTTCGTAACTGCTTATTCCCTAATGGGGTCGCTGGAGGGACCGGAGCCTATCCCAGTAGTCAATGGGCTAGTGGCAGGGTACACCCTGGACGGTCCGCCAGTCCATCGCAGGGCCACACAGAGACACACAAGGACAAACAACCACTCACACTCACTCCAATTTGGAATGTCCAATCAACCTAACATGCAGGTTTTTGGATGGTGGGAGGAAGCCGGAGAACCCGGAGAGAACCCACGCAGACACAGGGAGAACATGCAAATTCCACACAGAAAGGTCCTGGTTCCCTCGGGTACTCCAACCCAGAACCCTCTCGCTGTGAGGCCATGGTGCTAACCACTACACTACCTGCCAGTTAAATTATAACCTCCAAAAAAAAAATAATTCAAATAAAGGAAGAGAATGAAAACAACCTTTACCTCAGACGCCAGCTCAGCAGGGTCTTTGCCTCGCTTTTCCTCGTCTCCCATCTTGTTTTCTCTTCGCGAGGTGTTCTGAATTTCTCGCAGTAGCTGACACTGGGGTCCCTCCCGCTGCTCCATGAGCGTGGCCGGGCCCTTCGTCTTAGGACGCACCACAGGTGGCACAGGCGGAGAGGAGCGCTGGTTCCTGGCTGGTCTGCTTACCTACAAAAACGATGCCATTAGGTCAGAAAACGAGGTCAGAAAAGACCTGTCGGACTGTCACTGTTATCTTACCTACCACCCTGTGTCCCAGCAGACAGACCTTCCGAGTCTCTCTTTGAGTGAGCCGTCTGGTTCTGGGTGCGTCATTAGCAAACGCTTTGTGACGAAACCCTTTGAATCATGGGCTTCAATGGCTACCCCTGGCTGCCCACATCAAATTCAAGTCCCTGATGCTAGCCTTCAACGTGCTTAAGGGTATGGCTCCTGTCTACTTGAACCCTCTTGCAAAGGCTTATGTCACAACTCGGTCATCCCGGGATGGATTGTCGTCTAGCAGTGCTACACCACGCTTAAGACAATCCAGACTGTTTTCATATGTTGTTCTAAGATGGTGGAATGACCTACCAAGCCCTGTCTATCTTTAGGAAACTCTTAAAGACCCAGAGCATCTCCTATCCCAACTCTTACCCATACCCCTGTACCCCTCTACTACTCTTTCTGTGCTTCCCTCTCTCTCTTCACTGTCACCAGTGATTCTGACAAGGGATTTTCCTCTAGAGAACTCATTGTTATATCGATGATAACTGTAAAATTGTGTCTACTTTTTAAGTAGCTTTGGATAAAAGCATCTGCTAAATGCATAAACATAAACATAAACATGTGCAGGATTCAGAAAAATCTCAAGAACCCCCCCCCAAAAAGCAAAAAGAAAAGCGAAAAGACATTTACGGAACCCCGCTGACTCCAATGAATTAGCTACCTACCGATACAGGATCAGCGTAGATACTGTGTCCTGAGCCACTTTATCATTTTCATTTCTCTGTTTGTTACTTATTTCTTATGTTTTGTGGTCAATCAACTGCCAACTACTTTAGTAGAAGTGTGGCCTAGCGGATTCCCTCGTGGGGCAATAAAGCTTTTTTGAATCGTCAATCTTGATCTGAATCACCTGTGGGAGTGTCTGATGGCGCCCGTCTCTCTCTTTGGGTCGGACTGACGGATCAGCCGGGGGCCCCGCCGTCTGTCTTTTTGCCTAAAAAGGTAAAGAAACAAACAAACAGACGAACTGTTGTTCCAGCTCAGCGGTAACAGTGGAATCCGGACCCATTCTGACCTTTACCTGGACGGCAGCAGGGCCCTGCAGCTGCTGAACTGGTGCCGCCACTGAGGCTCTCCGGGCAGACGCTTCTGGGCTCCCAGACGCTGCAATGAAAGAAGAGATTTAACCCCGGTTTGTATAATCCCACCACAAACACATAGCTTTTCCCCTCGTTGAACCTACATGGCTCGAGCTCCTCCACGGTTCCAGTGTACGTTTTCTACAAAAATAAAAGAGCGAAAAGTAAGTAAAACACTTTAAGAGTATGAGAAAAACACCCACAAATAAGATACCCGTGGTGACGTCTGGCGCTTGGTGTTTTTCTTTTTGGCTGGGACTGCACATGTGGGGTCAGCAGCAGCAGCTCTCGAAGGCTCCCATACTGGTCTGTCCACCTGAAAGAGCTTTGTTCAAATTTTCAGACTCACGCTGGAGCCACAGAGCTTGTTTGCGTCTTTGACCCACCTGTGGACGTTTGGAGAACTCCTCCGGCCGGCGGCCTCGGTCTGGACTGGCCGATCCGAGGGAGTAGCGGCGAGGAGCTGCAGAGGCCGCTGCGAAGAAAGGCACGGTCAGAGCGCTCAGCAGGATCCTTTCCTGGCGGGAACCTACCCGATCCACTCCACGCTTCCGCCTGGGCCGCCGCCGATCCGCGGGGCCTGCTCGCCTTTGGGGGCTCCGGAAAATCCTGTAACATCCAGCAGAAAAAAATCACTGGCTGTCGCCCTTGGAGCCTCGTAGATTTGAGATTTTTTTTTACCTGTTCCTTGACAGCGTCTCTCTTCGCTTGAGGTTGTGGCCTCAGTTCTTTCCAGAATAATTCCTGGTGATAATGCTCGGCTCTAGGGATTCTCACTCCCTTTGGAGTACAGCCCACCCTCCCCTGGTGAATTCTCAACCCCCGATAGGTCGTCACATTCCTCCAGCCACAGTATTGGCAAACCCAGAGGCTCAGGTCAGGGTTGTAGGCCTCGGCCTCTGTCAAAGACATATTTCAAAAGATATTTCATAAATCAGCCACCGGCTCGAGTGCAGCAAATCCCAACTGAACACGCCATTTGAAAATCCTACCCTGCCGACGCTGCTGCTGCTCGGGATCCGCAACCCGCGCACCCTTCGGCGTGCAACCCATTCTGCTCTGGTGGATCCTCAAGCCCCGGTAGGTGGTCACTTTGGACCAGCCACAGTAGTGGCACACCTGGAGGCTCATGTCTGCACACAAGAAAACAGACGACCGCCACAGCATAAACATTAAACTCCAGGTCGACATCAGAGTTTGGCATTTTGGCTGCATTTCTCTGATAATTCACAACGTGACTTTTTCTTCAGCCACACAGACAATAATATAAGGTCATTTTCCCCAGGTCTCCGCTCTCTCTGATGTGAAAACAGGCCATCTTTATTTTTCTGTTTGAAAAGGGTTACTTGAATAAAAACAGAGAAAAAAGAAGAAAATAAGTTTTAAAAAAACGGACAGAGAACAGATTAAATAGTTGATTTGCATTCCTAAGCACAGCAAAAGACACTGAGCCAACATGGGTGTGGTCGAAAATTTTGGATTATCTGAAGAGATGAGAGTGAAAACCACAATTTCTTCAGCCTAAACCTGACTTTTCTCCAACTGAAAAAAACAGTTCTTTAAGACTTTGGTCTTAGTCTTATTACTATATGGATTTAGAAAGAAAGAAAGAAAGAAAGAAAGAAAGAAAGAAAGAAAGAAAGAAAGAAAGAAAGAAAGAAAAAAAGAAAGAAAAACACGCAATACACCCAAAGAATGAAGGCGTTATTAACTAGAAAAAGCGCTACAACAAGCGCAAGTTGGAGCCAGACGCATGGAACTGAGAGCTTGTCCTTCAAAATGAATGTATCTATGGATGATAGGCTTTTTGTAATGCCTAAAAATAGGAACCTAAGCATCTATAACCCCGCTACCAAGCCCCAAAAAAATCTCCCTACAATCACGCACCGTTACAACGCCGTCACGCATCAAACCACATCGCCATAAAAGAGCGCAACGGATCAGACGGAATTCCTCACCTTACAGTTTTCGCATAAACACTTTTTTTTTATCGCCTCCGCATTTTCCCTCAAAATCCTCTACGATGGTTTGAAACTTCCTCTGCCGTGCAGTAAGTTTCGTTTCTGGAAAAATAGAAAAAAGAACCCCGGCCATCCGCGTTCTTTTTTTTCACTGCAAGACATAAAATGAATCATCACGGGAAGCGACGAAACATGCAATTTTTCATAGAGAAATAAATGCGCTAGATAGAAAATGACTTTCAAATACCAGTTTCATGATTTGAGGAATGTCCTAAGAAAGTTATTGTGCATTCACAAATATCAAAATATCCTGACATGCCCATGATGCGCACAGATGCTGTTAGACTTTATAACAGGGGCTATCCAGGGGTTATACCAGCAAACGTGTAATATTCTCTTAGTTTTTTTAACTTTTGAACAGAGGTGTTGTTGAATCATGCAGACAAATGAGTTGTCAACCTGACTAAACCAGAACTGGGCAAAGTTACACTCTGCAGACACAATTCATACACTTGAAAAATGCAATTGAAAGCTCTTAGAGCTTTGACATTTACAGAGATACGAGGAACCAAGAGTGACCAATGTAAAATTTGTTTAAAAACAAGCTGCTTTTCCTGTTTCATATCAGAAAGCATTGGCATGAAATTACATTTTACATGACATCTGTGTTTGGATGCCAGCCTATTCTGATCCTGTTAATTTCCTGTACTTTTGAGAGCCGTTCATTATAAATAGTCCAAGACATGCTGCCCACTATGAAAGATGCAAAAGATGAATAACTTTAAAGACAAACAGTACCCTGGATATAACCGGAAAATTAAAAAATATATTTTTCTACAAAGCCATAACTGTATTAGTGTCAGTGAAAACTAAGTCAACCCCTTGTTCATGTTCTCCACTTGTCGCCGTGAGGCCATGGTGCTGACCACCACACCACTGTGCCACCCCACAGATTCATATATATATGAAAAAGTGGGAAAGCACTTTATTTGATTTTTTTTTTAAATTAAAGTCGATGGTGTCTACTGTGAGGTCAGCAAACCAAAGTTGAACAAAAACATTTATTAAGTATATGGCACATGTATAAATGCTTATACTAGGACGCTGGGTCTCTGGAGGTTCAGTCTGTTTGAATCCAGAGCATCATTTAAGTAGTTTTTGCTCACGCCTCTTCCATAAACCAGCAGAAAACAACACAGGGCTTTGACAGTTTAATGAGTCCCCTCTCAAAAGGGAAAACAAAGAACATCATCCACCATTGCACAAGTTACACAAATTCTGCTTTTTGCGGTTCAGACAATTATTCAGGCTCTTTGGGTTTGTTTATGTGAATGCTTTGCTTTTTTCCCCCTTCATCTCATGCCAACAAACATTTTGAAAACGGTGCTTTAGAAATATGGAGTGAAAATATTCCACATTTCCCATCTCCACTTTGATTAAAACCTGTCTCATGTGTCCACCTCTAATTTATTTAGATTATTTCTCTATGATATACACATAGAGTTCCTCTAGCAGTGTATTTGTTATAGTTTATATTGATCCCATTTTAGTCTTCGTTGTAAATAGTCTGAGATATTTGAGTAAATAAGTCGGTGTTGTGCCCAGTATGAAAGCTAGAAAAACATTTGGTAACACCAGATTTCATTAGTAAAATGACAAGTAAAACAGTATCTTGTAAATATGTATTTTTTCATAAAAAAGAGAACTACATTGGAAAAATTCAAAAGTGAGAAATGCAAATCAAATTTTGTTTAAATCATCGGTCTTAACATGTGAAAATAAGAAAAAGTTAATTGCCTTACGATTGAGTTATTTCAACTTAATGTGGAGCTGGACGCCTAAAATGTTGCGCTCCAACTACACAGAGCTCATACTCGCATCCATCTGCTCCCTTTCCACTTCACCTTCAGATTGTTTCTCAGCAGAAATAACCAACGGCTCGGAGTTTTTCTCGCCCTGCTTCACATGTGGACTGAAATACGGGTAAAGCTCATTGGTGAATGAGCACTTATGGAAGGAGTAGATGTGAGACCGAGCCGTCACGTCGTAGAAGGAGACCAGACCCTCCTCGTAGTCCACAAACACGCCCACCTTCTTTGGCTTTGCTCTGGGGGAGAGACGGAGGGGTGGCTCCGTCATGGCGGCGTAGTTCTCCTCTTCGTAATGAACCAGAGCCCAGAAGCCGTGATCTGGGTTCACCTTCAGTTTCCCCCTGCGGCTGCTGCTTCCTCTCACCACACCCAGATCCCACCCCGTCTTGTGGCCGACCTCCACCTCCCAGTACGACTTCCCGGAGGCGAGGCCGCAGAGCCCCAGGACGCTGCCGAACAGGTCGAACCTGGCAGGGGAATCTTCCAATTCCTGCTCCTCTCCTCCATCCTTCACTTCTTTGCCGTCATCAGAAACAACGAGGCGTTTGTGAGCGGTGGCCGGATCCAGTTTGACGTCCACTGTTGAACCCAAAGGGGAATGAAGAATTGGAATCAAATGGCTTCTTTTCATCAAAAAGTGATAAGGAAAAAACTTTAAGATGACCATCTACCTGTAAACTTTGGGACTCTCCTCAGCTCTGTGGAGTTAAGTATAAAGAATGATGAATTATGTCTTAAAAAAAAAAAACTTTAATCTTTTCTGCTATTGAATGAATTCCTACCTATAGCAGACAGTTTGTGGAGCTCCTGTTGAATTTTTTCCATCGCCATTGTTGTAGTTTTTATCATGGTGCCAAACGACAGTGACGTGTCGAGCTTGACCCCTGTCCAGTCCATGAGGTCACTGTGGACTGCAACTGACGGGAACCTCTGAGAATCAGACAGAAAGGCGTTTCCAACAGCACTGAATGACAAAGAAGACGTTCCCAGATGAAAGCGAGCGAAGAAGCACGGGGGATGGTGAACGTTCTCTCTCACCTGTAAGAACAGCATGTGGTCCTCCAGCGCCGAGAAGTCGTCAATTTCGGACATCAAAATCTCCAGTTTTTTTATTTCAGCTTTCAGCTTCTCGCTGTGGCCTTCTGCTTCCGTTTCCAGTGAGCGCCTCTTCTCCTCCACCGGCTTCAATATGGCCTTCTGCGCAGCCTCCACTATAGCCAGCACAGCTTGGAACACATTATCGATATCCCACCACTCACTGTCCAGCTGGTCCTGAAAACCAGTAAAAAGTGATGACGTTCTCAGGTTGCCCTCGTAACCTTCGTACAAAGAACCGTCTTGGTGTGAGGTGCACACAAATGAAACAGCTCAATATTTAAAAAAGCTTGAAAACCATCGAGTCATGGAAGTGGAAATTATAGAATTGTCAAAATGTGACTTAAGGCAGGATTCAGATGCAGAGATCTTCATGCAAAAACCGCTGGGAACGGAAAGACAGGCCAAAGTACAAAATAAAAATCACTTTTGAAAACGAGGCAGACAAAGCAATGAACAAAGTATCAAATAATAATCACTCTGGAATGAGGAAGCCAAAGGCTATAACTGTACAAACACGAACTCACTCTGACGAGGAAACACAAGGAAGGATTCAATACAAGGTTTGGTTAAAGGACAAGGTTCACGCTCAGTTTGGGTCGAAAGACAAAACACACCGGCGCAAGACAAGGGGAAACGCAGACTATTTAACACATGAAGGGACAGGAACTCCGGGTGAACACAATCGGTGATCAGGGAAGACAATTGGACAGATGACACTCAGGGGAGTGACCAAAACGGAGAGGAGGATAAATTATTAAACTAAAACAGGAAATGACAAGACCACATGGAGAGAGGACAAAAAAAAACAACTTGACTACATCGCTGTGACAAGAATTAAAGTTATAGAATATAAATTAATTCCATAAATGGAATTTTTTAAATATATGTATGTATTACAGTTTTGTTTTATAGAGTATGAACTTATACAGAAGAACTTCCCTCTTTAGCAGCTTACCTTGCAGCTCCTCAAAGCTGTGTTGATCTCATCCATTTTTGCTCTTCTTTCCCTAATCTTCTGCTGAAAATCTTTCTTGATGTCATCAAGTTGAGCCTATTGAAGACAAAAAAAAGCATATCAGAAAATCTCTTTTGGAAATTGTGTAAAAAAAAATCGCAAGTTAATTTAGTTATCTTTCTAATTCTTTGACTTAGATAAACAGGCATGTCGGAATTCACGCACGCACAACTGGATTTGAATTGTATGACACCACACCTTCTTTGCCTGGCATTCCTCCTCGGCTGAGACCACTTCCTCCTGCCTGTCAATGCACTGAACACAGACACATTTCTGCTGGTTCCTGCTGAACAGCTCCAGGGGACGTCCGTGGATCAAACAGGCCCTTGCGTCCATGTCCCCCACTGGTTCCACCAGCTTGTGGCCCTTCAGCCTCTCAGCTGAATAATGATTCTGGATGTGTGTTGAACAGTAGGAGGCCAGACACACGAGGCAGGACTTCTCAGCCTTGAGATTGGGCTCTGTGCAGACGTCACATCTCACCTCTCCGGGACCCCCGGTGAACTCATTGGGAGGTCGGCGTCTCGGCTTGTTGTTCAGTTGGATGATGTCTCTGAGCACGATGTTCACACTTGGGGCTTTGTTCAAATGCGTCTTGCAAAGGGGGCACGAGGACGAAGCGTGTTCGATGTGGAGGTCCAGGCATTTCCTGCAGAAGGTGTGACCACAAGCTGTGGTGACGGGATCTTTGAAGGTCTCCATGCAGACGGAGCAGCTGAGATGCTTCTGAAGTGAGCCCGAGTCACCGGGGGAATTGGAACTGGAAGCCATGTCTGGCGAAAGACAGCACAACAAGGTCACCTGCTTTGAAAATAGTACAGCAACCATTACTACGAATTGAGGACTGAATAACAACAACTGAGGTGGACATCCAGGAAAGAGAAAGTGACAAATAAATTTTTTTTCTGTTGATGATTGTTGATTCTGTCCTTCCTTGGGTCTGGAGGGGTTTTAAAGAGTGTTTCCAGTCACCCTACTGACCTTCTGAACTTTATGGTAAAGGTCTTATTTAGTTTTTCTTTTTTAATCAACATTTTGTCTCTTTTACAACTTCTTCTGTGAACTTCAAAAGGGAAAAACCACCCAGTCCTGTTTCCTCTGAACCGGTAGCGGTTTTCCGATTTAACCATGTGTTAAATAATGCAACTGGGATTGTGTTCTTTGAGAGTCAGTATATCAAATATGTTACTCTGTAATCTTTTAACCCTTTCAATGTTTTTTCTTACTAGTAATAAAAGATAGTGAAACTTTTACCAAAATGAATATGCGAATCGATTAATTGAAAGAAAAGCGGCTGCAAAAATTAATCTGCAAAAGCAAAGCTGTTGCCACATGTTTTAAAACCTACTGTCTTTGATTGCAGAGTTAATGGTTACTAGCAGTGGAACCTGTGGAACTGTAAAATAATATATGTACAGGCTGATGTTTTTCATTAATGCTTTCTCAAGATGCAAAATGTAGATCAAAATGAACTGGTTTTATAAGAAAAGTGTGAAATTTTTACCTTTGGATCCTGAAGTGGTCGATTATCAAAGGAGTCAGGCTTCTCTGTTTCTCTCCTTCCAGCTACAGTATGTGTGTGTGTGTCTGTGTGTGTGTCCTTTTCTCTGTGTTAAGTTTCGTTTCTGTTCTAAAGTCTACGTCAGTGCTTCTTCCTGTAGTCAAATAGACAGGGTGGTAATGAAATGTGCAGTCAAATCATGTTTGCTTGCCTCGGGGCAGTATCACTGTTGCGCAACAGATCAAATAGTCAACACACTTCGAGGTCAGATGGTGCTCACAAAGCACTCTATGCACAAACCTGTGTTTTATTCCCTTTGAAACCTGTTTGTATCTTAGGCTCGGTGGGTGCACAGTCTCTTCAGTTTCATTTCCCATTTGTGAGATAAAAGCATCGTAAAAAAAACTATGACAAGGAAAGAAAACTTTGCTTCAAGTTGTTTTTACTCACACTTAAATATACATCTGCATAAAACAACATATGGCATTGACAGTTTAGTAACTCCCCGAGAACTATGAAAAACAAGGAACATCCGTACTCACAATACATAAATTCCGCTTTTTGTTTTTCCTTGTCATACAGTTGCTCTGACATTGACTACCAGCGGATAATTGAGGGCTTTGTCAAGTTGCCACCGCTCTTCATATACTTGTTATGAAACTTGAAGCAGACAAATCCAAAATGTTGGAAGAAGGGGTCTCTGGACATCAGATTCAAAAGTGAAAAAAACACTTTTGAGTTGCTGAAGTCCAACCTTCCACTGTGTCCATGCTTATGCAGACTCATCATTAATATATGAGTCATATAGTCATATATATATAATATATTCTGGAAGTGCTCATTCTGAAGTCTTATCTCCACAGGAAAATCAAGAAAGCCATAAATAAAGTAAAATATTTCTGCCCTTATGCGGCCTACAGCTCACACAGGGAAACTTAGAAGTTTTAGAAGACAGAAAAAGCTGTGTGCGAGTGCTTCTTTGAAGGCCCGTCACCATCATCACGTTCACAGTGTGGGAATCTCTGTAAGAGACCAAAGGCGACAGGACTCATGAAAGTAAATCACTCCAAGGATTCGTTGATTTATACTAATCTTGATTTAGGTTGAAGCAAACCTGTAGGAAATGCAGGCTGTCTTCAGTGTGTGAGAGCCTCTCCAGCTCCTCATCGGCGCCCTGCAGCTCTGTGATTTCCTCTTCCAGCTGTCGGGCGAGCTCTCCGTTCTGGGTCCGCTCCGCTGTCGAGAGCTTCATTTTCTCCACCTGCCCCAGTCTCTGCTGAATCTCCTGCTGAAGTTTCAGCCGCCTGTGGTTAAGCTTAACCTGTGGACGAACAGAGGAACGGGGCTCTCAGGGTTATCTGTGTTTACAGCCCGATGTGTGTGTGTCGTAATGAGGGCAGTTTATGGCTTTTACAGCTGATTGACACCAGCAATGACAGCCGGACCTTTGCTCCTTTTTCACGATAGACATTCCTCCTCATAAATGCTGTTTTTTGTATGGCACTGTTCAGTCCGCTGTGGCATTTTGCCTTAAGCAACGCCAACATTTTTTATAATTCTCTTGTTATGTTAAGACCACGCACGTTGTAGTAACTGATGTCCTTTGAAATCTCTTAGCCATGCCGCATGTAAAAAGGAGGCTTCCCTTTCACCTTCCTCATGTTTCTTTGAGTCTTACGAGGAAAGACCAGCACAAAGTGCTCGGAGACAGAGGACCGCTACACCATTGCGAGCAGGTATCCCACCAGCTCTTTCAGGAGAAGAGCGGAGGATTCCAGTTTTAGGATCACACGTCAAAGGGTTGGGATGTAAAGTGGGAATGTTGAAGTTCCCACAACACATAGCTATTCGAACTGAAGCAGAAACCACAACCCTTAAGAAGCCACAGTGGTGGTGAAATGACTTTCTTAGAAGCGTTTATACAGGCGTGTCGTCCTCGCGTGGCGCTTTTCTCCCACTTTACCTTCTTCTTTGCGGCTTCTTGGCTGACAGATGTGATGCGGTGACCCCTGTGCTCTGTCCGAGCACACTTGGTGCAAATGCAGGTTTGGTCGCTCTTGCAGAAGCGCTCCAGCCTCCTCCCGTGGAGCCTGCACACCGAGTCCTCCAGGTTTTTGGCCACGCCGATCAGAAGGTGGCGTCCCAGCGCGTCGCTCCGGTAGTGCGGCTCCAGATGGGCGGCGCAGTACGAGGCCAGGCACCGCATGCAGGACTTGACCGCCGGCCGCCTGGTGCGGCAGAAATCGCAGGCCACCTCCCCGGCTTTCAGAGGGGCGGCGGCGTCCTGGGTCTGAGGAGCCTGGCCGGTTTGAAGCCGCGTCCTGTCGGGGAAGACTGCTTTACAGAGAGGGCACTGGCAGGAGTCATGGATCCGCCAATATTCCCCTATGCACCCGAGGCAGAAGCAGTGTCCGCAGGGGAGGGAGGCAGGGGTGGTGACCTCATCCAGACATATGCAGCACCCGGGAGGCTCCGACATCTTAATGTCTCCTCTTTTAATTATTCTCCTATAGAACCTGGGTCCGTCCTCTGTTTGGTAAGGTTTGCTAGTGTCAAATACCATCCACACAAGAATCCTCTTCAGCAGTTTGCCATCATTAGCAGACTCTAAACTCCAAAAACAAAAAAATAAAAATAAAAATCAATATTTTTGTCTGTCACCCAATTGATTTCTTTTTAATCAGTGAATTATTAATGAATGGCTTCATTTGGGAGACTATTCAAAAGGCCTTGGTGTCCCAGTTTGTTTGCTTAGGAACCACCTGTGTATCTCAGGTTTAGCTGAAGTGCACGCCCACTAAAGTTAATAAAACGTTACTTAATGGCAACATTGGAGAGAGCTGCTCAACTGAAGATCGGATTCGGTGTCAATAGCAAAGGAAGAAGCCTGAGAAAAAAATCAGTCCCTACCTCCGATGCACAGCAAATGCGGAATTACCACAAGACATAAGCCGGGGGTGGTTTTTGGTTTTATTTCTATGAGTTTTAATTCAGATACCTAACTAAAACTGTCAACAGTTTGGCAGAATCAACAGCAATAATCCCAACGTTCAACATAAAAACATTTTTGATCATTTTTAAATGTGAGATAGACAAACCTTTCTTGAACAATCCTCAATCGGTGTGTCTCGATGCTCTGATAGTCTTGTTAAACATTATCAGTTAGTTTTTCTTTCCACTTACATAGGTGCAGACACACCTATCATGACAGGAAAACAGTGGCTGCTCCTGCTGGACTCTGTGATTTCCTGGATGCTCATAAACTGCCATGTGGGCCTAATAAAAGCAGATGTGGTGGGACCAAAGAAGGGCAACGAGCACCTCACGGATTTTATTGCAATGAGAATGAACATGTGAACATTTAACACCAAATAAGGCGGTCAAATGTGGAAGCAATCATCATTCTTGTTTCTAATGACAGTGTAGTGACATGTACGAGAATTCACTCCACCTTCCCGGTTTTTAGCAGTCATTCAAGTTTTTTTCCCAAACATTTTATGAACAAACAAAAGAAAATCACAATTTGTTAAATTGTTTGATTTTATTTCCAGTGCATCAGAACTAGAGTTCTTTCAGAAAATACAATTTGATGTTAGCCAATCATAAGACTTCTGTATCATATCTTGCAATGTTCTTTTGTCATGTATTGAAGGAGAAGTGAAACCAAACTGGTTTAAATATTTTGTCTATAATGAAAGAAGCTGAACTGACAACTTGGTACATGTATAAAGCATTCCACAGAAAATACCAGATGTCTGGATCACGTGTTTTTAAACTGTTTAAACTAAGTTTTAAAATTGGTTATATTAAGATAAGGTAACAGCAATATCACTACATTTTTTTCTTTATTTCAAAAGGAATAAGAGCGAGGAGATGCTCTTAGTATATATAGCTAATAGCCAAAGCCTCAGATTTCTTTGCTCTGCTGTACAGATAGAAGTATGGGAAAAGTTTCCCCGAGAAACACTCCCCCAAGAAAGAGTAGATGTGTAGCTTCTGATCCACATCAAAGAAAGACACTCTGCCGTCCTCATAGTCCAAGTATACCCCCACTTTTCTCGGCCGAGGGCAGAGGTGGAGAACTGTATAGCCCGCACAGTGAACTTGGTAGTCAAATCCCCTCTTTCCTATGGCAAAGAATCCATTCTCTTTTTTGATCGCTGCCCTGCCGGTTTTATCCACCGTCTCCTTGGCGACCCCGACATCCCAGTTGTTTCTCAGGCCCACTTGGACCTCCCAGTAGTGCCGGCCCGAGGAGAAGCCCTTCGTCCCGAAAATCATGGGGCAGCTGAGACGCTCCTCGTCGTCGGATGTCAAGGCGTCCGCGCTCACTTTGCGGAATTTCACACGCGATCCAAACTCCATCACCACAAGGCCGGCACCAGCAGTGGATTGGTTAAAAGTAACCGATTCTAAAGAGAAGGCAAACTCGGTTAAAGCAACAATCTTCTGAAAGAACAAACAAACTGGATACATACGTCATGGGTTATGGACCTCACCTTTGTATTGTCTCATCCTGGTCAGCTCTATAGGTAGCAGAGACAGAAGACAGTTAGTTGGAACCTGTCGTGGTCATGGGAATCTCAACATGAAACCGACATGTTTTACCTGTGTTCATCAGAGTTTTCAGTTCGACTTTAAAAGCATGGACAAGATGAGACATGGCTCTCCTCACTGTCTGCATGAACAGATCCGGGTACACCTTAATATTGGACCAGTCCTGGGCATCTGACGTGGTGTTTAGAGCCCGCAAAGTCTGGAATGAGTCACAAGCACATGGCGGTGAGGAGAGGCTAGCTAGACTAACCATACGTTAAGGCCAGTTTGACCTCCCTCTTGGTGCAAGTGTTCTCCATCTGATCCAAGAGGCTGCAGACGGTATTGGCTTTTTCATTTGGCACCTGTTTGTCTCACAGTAGAATTTTGTGTAATATTGTGAAAGAAAGCACTTATATCTCAGACTTCAACTGGGTTTGGGGGCCCTAAGGTTATCACACCCCTCTCTTGTGAAACCAGTTGGTGGCATACTTCTAAAAATGTCTACGTTTAAGATCAGTCCTTCAGACGTTCCTTTCTAATAATGCTTATAATGAGGGAAGGATAGAGCAAAATCAATATTTTCTCTTACTAACCTGGATAAGTTTAAGGTGGTCTTCATTTTTTGAAAGCTCCTCCAGATGCGATTGTTTCTTCTGCAGTTCCACAATTTCCCCTCTCAGCACTTGAATCATCGCTTGGTCTCTCTCCTGGTATTTTCTGAGCTTCTCATCAATGTTTGACTTCACTTTGCTGTGAATCTCTTTCACTTTGTCCATCAGGGTGTCGAAAAGTTTCTCGCAATCCTCGATCTCCTTCTGTGTTGTCACCTGTTTCAAAGACAATCCTGTTACAGGTGCATATTTAAAGGGTAAACCTTTGAACGCGTGAAGTTCTCCTTCAAACTCAACTTTGTTCATTTCAGAGCATTCACTGAACTCCTTAATCTTTTCGGTCCTTTCATCAATCATCTCTTTGATCTTGGCTTTTTTGGACTCGATATTTTCCTGAAACATCAATAACATTGCGCTAAATAACATGGAGTGAGTCATTCCTTCATTTTAGGAATATAAAGACTAGATATAAGACAAGATGTCTCACCCTCTGTTGAGCTCCTTCCTCCTCGACGGGCACCGCCTCGTGGTCTTTGTGCTGCGTCTCCAAGCACAGCAGACAGATGAGCACCTGCTCGTCCCTGCAGAAAAACTCCAGGATCCTGGCGTGCTTCTCACAAACCCTCTCTTCCAGGTTCTGGACCGGGTCCGTCAGCTTGTGTCTCATGAGGGAGGGGACTCTCTGGTGAGGCTCGAGGTGTGCTTCGCAGTACGAGGTCAGGCACACCAGGCAGGACTTGAGGGCCTTGAACCTGAACTGCGTGCACACATCACACGTCACCTGCCCCGGCGCCTCCAGGCTCTCCAGCGCCTGCGTCTTCCTCCTCTTTATTTGGACGGAAATCTCGGAGATGACGGCATTTGTCGAGAACTCGGGCTTCACGTGGAACCTTTTGTTGCACCTGGGGCAGTGGCATAGCTCGCCGCCATCCCAGCGCGTGTCCAGACAGGTCCTGCAGAAGTTATGGCCGCAGGGCGTGCTGACTGGGTCAGAGAAGACGTCCTCGCAGATGGAACACTGGAAATGATCCTCCGGCAGTGTTGCGATATCGAATGCTGACATTCTAAGATCTCTGTGGAAGAACATAAAATATCTTCATATACCAGATCCGTTGAGCTTCACAGATGATACGTAATGCTTCATGAAGCTTTATTTTTTAATCGTAACCTACGAAAATAAGGGGAAGAAGGAAGCCCTAAAGTCAGATCGGTGCTTAGTCAGGTCTATTTTCAGGCTGTGTTCAGCATACACCAAACAGCCCCACCCAATGAGTCATCTCCACGTGAGAATGGCTCCACATAGCCAAATGAATTAGACTTACAGGTGTTTATTCCAACATCTAAAACCAAAAAAAGGAGCTACATATGTGAAATCATAGCCTACCCGGTGCTCTGTGTTCTTGCAGCAGAATGCAGAATCTTCCACTTGTTACGTCTTGTAGCATTAAGACACTTTGAGGCTGGCAGCGTGCGTTCCTTAAGTGGAAATTGATACAAGTGAATGCTGAGAGGCCAGACCAGCAACTATCATTTAGTGGGTGTGTTCATGCAACTGGTTTCTCCTTGAATCAACATTTATTGTGTTCTTTTTCATTTTTCTCCGACAACATGAATCTTTTATATATATAAAAAATAATGCAGACTGTTAGCTTCCAAAAGAGACAAAGAATCATGTTCATGAAAAGGAAAAATATAGCTATAAAGCTATGGCTATGAAGTTGGGTGAAAACAAGGCATTTTCAGTTTTTTTTTATTGTTTTGTTTTCATATTATTATGAAATAATATTATTATTATTTTATTATTATTATTATTTCCCTAAACCTCTTCTTGTTTTGTTGCCTGACACTTAGTTCATCGCAAAAAAACATGGCTTCCAAACGCAAATGCATGATCACAGCTCGCCATGACAGCGTGCTGCAGTGTTAACCAGCACTTGGGGACAGCTACACGTACTGAGCTTATCTTGAGAAAGTTGTGAAACGACAGGTCACGTCTCACACTCTCAAAACCGACACACACACGACGCCTGGCTCTAACAAAACGGCGCTCGTTGCGCTCTGACATCAAAGCATGACTTTTCATCTTTTTATCTCTTTTTTACATTTTCACAACCACAGCAAGTCAAAGCTTCATCTGTCTCCAGGGTGACATGCATGCAATTATCACATTTGATAATTACAAAAGAAGATATTTAAAATTTCTTTTCATAATCTTTTAATGAAATAACTCTTTAAAAGAGAGCATCCATCCCATCAACTGGAACTTTTCCGGCTATGTTGGAGCCTTCATCGTTAGCATGAGCAACATTCGGAAAGCAGATGATCAACACGGCTCTCCTGCTGCCAGCGCTGTGACTCAGGAAGTTGAGGCACGATTGTGCATCATTTTGAATAATTTTACTCTAAGGTTGCAGCCATTTCCTGCTTTGTTTTTTTAGAGATATCAGCTTGGGGCCGAATCCCAAGCATGCACAAGTAACTTTGCTTTCAAAATCTAGTACAAGAGAAAGTTTATCAAACGTTTCACTTTAATCTGATGAAATCTAAACCAAAAAATCTGTGTCCTAACGTTTAAAAAATCAGTGTATAAACATTTGTCTGTAGGTAATTTTACTAGAATCGTTATTTAAAGCTTAAGATGAAGCAGAATAACACAGCAATGCAGAACGTGGTATAATACGTGTTCTCCTTAAAACTAATCTTTTGCAACCCATTTCTTAAAAATGTCTTCAGTGTGAGTGGTCGGGTCGAGAACAGCCCGCCTCCGTACAGTGGCTACAGTAACTGGTGCACAGTTCACTTTCTAACATTTTGACTGACGGAGTCCTGCTGTGCGCACAAAGATGAGCTTCACAGTGATTCTGGCTTTAATCTGCAGCTTCAGTGAGTACAGACACATATTTCCGTTGAGCTTAATTGTTCACTGATGACAAAAGTTGAATACTGAAATTGAACGTTGTGATTAGTATTTTTTACTTTCTGATTTTTGTGTGTTTGTTTCAGGTTGGGTCTCTGTGTCAGTGTCAGAGTTTCACACCGTGGAGGTCCAGCCTGGAGAAGATGTCACACTGATGTGCTCCAATCTGACCAAATTTATTACTCACATATTCTGGTTAAAACTGGCCGAAAGAGGAAATGCTAGTTGCATCTCACATTTGACCAGTTCTGACTCCAATGCTTCACTTTGTGCTGGATATAAACATCGTCAATTCAAAATGACCTCCAACACCACAAACCTTTTTCTGAACATCAAACCAGTGGATTTCTCCGACTCTGGACTTTATTTCTGTGGATTTTACAGAGATGGACACTCAGTCATTTTCAGTGCAACGTATTTACAGGTTCAAGGTAAGATGTAAGTCATTGATATTGTAGTGACTGTGTAATTACTCCAAACTAACCCTGCTGTGTACAAACTGTGACAGTCTCTCCTGTAGATGCGTTAACAAATAAACTGATCATCATCCTGGGAAGTGGAATGATTTTCCTTGTCATAGTCATCATCTGTCTGGTTGTCAGAATCAGGATACTTCATGCAGGTAAGTTTTCATTTTAGTCAGAGATTTAGAAAATGACAAAAGCTAAACTCTGAAATGAATAACTGACCAGAGAAAATGTCGTTATCATTTAGGTCAACCTGACAAACAGAATCTACAAAACGCAGAGGTAATCATAAATTGATATTATTAATGTTTTACATTTATAATCATATGTCAAGATATTAAATCAGCGACTGCAACTTCTTTAATCTACAGACGTCCTCTGAAGCCCTGAACTACGCAGCCGTGAGTTTCCGTCCCAAAGAAAAAAAGAGCAGAAGGCCAGTAGAAGAGAGAGAGCTGGAGCCACATGTGGTGTATGCTGCCACCAGACAGACTCACAGACCAATGAGGGAAAAATGATTCAGCTCAGCACATGGCTTTTTTTGGTGTATTTGTTTGAATTGCAATAAACGGCGTCCCATCAGATCAAAACGCCTGGGTTTATTCATGTTCGTCCTTTCTCAGCATAGCATAGAAACATGGCCGGTGTTTGAGGGAGGAGGAGCCTGTGAGGCCTCTGATGGCTGCACAGACAAAGCTGCGGCCTGCTGCAGGGCAACAAGATAAAGAGATAAACAAGATGGCAGACAGGAAGAGACTGCGCGGTGTGGTCGGAGTGTGAGGCCCATCACCAGTTGATGACGGTACCGCACGCAAGCCAGTTGTGTAAGTCTCTGTGTGCTTGCTTCAGACATCCAGTTCCTCAAACCTTTTTCTGAACAAAAGCATCAGTTACTTTACATTTTGGAACGCGTTCTGCGGGACTGTGGTCTGATGAGCAGTGAAGCAGGTTGGGGAGTTCATGTGTGAGAGGATTTTAGGTTTTCAGCTGTAGACAAACCACTTCCTGTCTATCAGATTGTGCATCTCTATTTTTATTCCCCAGCTGAGGACCACAACGTCGTCTGCGCTGCCATCAAAGCCCTCAAAGGCTCCTCCTCCATCAAAAAACTAACCATTTTCTTTCGTTCACAGAGAAAAGGACACCATCACTGAGGAAAGAATTATCATCAGAGCAAGGTTTTAAAAAAAAGTTTTAATCGGAACTGCACTTCAATGAAACCCAAAAACAGAAAAGGATAACATATTGTGTCACTCTAAGTTTGTGTCTGTGTTTCTGTGAGTCGATCTGGTTCAGCATACACCACATGTGGCTCCAGATCTCTCTATTCCACTGCCCCTCTGTTTCTTTTTGATTTGGGACGGAAACTCACTGCTGCGTAGTTCAGGGCTTCAGAGGACGTCTGTGAATGAAATAAGTTGCAGCCTCTGATTGAATCTAATCTTAATATATGATTGATAAATGTAAAACATAATGAAATCAGCCAGTGATTACCTCTGCGTTTTGTGGACTAAGTTTGTCAGTTTGTCCTGAAAGACAACAACATTTAATCTGGTCAGTTATTCATTTCAGACTTTAGCTTTTGTCATTTTCAAAATCTCCAACTAAAATGAAATCTTACCTGCATGAAATGTCCTGATTCTGACAACCAGACAGATGATGACTATGACCAGGAAAATCAGTCCACCTCCCAGAATGATGATCAGTTGATTTGTTAACCCATTACACGCATCTACAGGAGAGACTGTCACAGTTTGTACACAGCAGTGTTAGTTTGGAGTAATTACACAGTCACTACAATATCAATGACTTACATCTTACCTTGAACCTGTAAATGTGTCGCACTGAAAATGACTGAGTGTCCATCTTTTTTGTATCCACAGAAATAGAGTCCAGAGTCGGATAAATCCACTTGTTTGATGTTCAGAAAAAGGTTTGTGGTGTTGGAGGTCATTTTGAATTGACCATGTTTATATCCAGCACAAAGTGAAACATTGGAGTCAGAACTGGTCATAGATGAGATGCAACTAGCATTTACTCTGTCGGCCAGTTTGAACCAGTATATGTGAGTAATAAAAGTGCTCAGATTGGAGCACAGCAGTGTGACCTCTTCACCAGGCTGGACCTCCACGGTGTGAAACTCTGACACAGACACAGACACCCAACCTGAAACAAACACACAGACGAGGTTACCACAAATGTCAAAGACAGCACAAACCCGTTAATGACTTCCGCTAATGTGAACACTCTATATTTCTACCATCTGATTTCTGCAGACAGAGAGATGTACGAGAAAAAAAAGTGTTTGTACTCACTGAAGGTGCAGATTAAAGCCAGAATCAGTGTGAAGCTCATCTTTGTGCGCACCGCAGGACTCCGTCAGTGTAACGTTAGAAAGTGAACTGTGCACCAGTCACAGTACCCACAAAAAAAAAAAACGGACTAAATTAATAACCGCATGTGCAGCTGAGTCCTAAAATGGTGTTTGCACTTTCAAGGCTGGAGGTGCTGTCGTGTAAAAAGCAGGACAACCAAGAACTTTTTCTTCCTCCCTGACATTAGACTCCATAACAGCTAATAAATTGTGATCTAATGCATGTTATATATAACATATATAACATGTCATATATATATGTGTATTTATTTTTTGTCTTTTGTTTATTTGCGTTTGTAGATGCAGTTTGTGCTAGACTTTTTGAATTTTGACACTTTGAATCACTTTGAATGTGTCAAATCACATGGGACGGCAAACAGAGATCAACTAATTATTCTCTTGATCTAACTGGTAGATTGACCCACATACTATAACCAGTTGAAGTTAAGTGGAATAAGGCGATATTTTCCTCATCTTACATGCTGTATTTTCAATTCATTTCAGCCGATCGTGTGAAACATTATATAAGTTAAAAATCACTAGGTTTCCAAGTCATTACTGTTATAATTACAGCTAGACATAAGTTGAGTAGGTTTTTGCTGCAACCCGTAAAGACGTTTATTGGGACAATCTAATACAACCCCAAACACGGAAAATAGACCTCAATCAAGGTTTGCTTTGGAAGCTTTTTAAATCTAAACACTGGCGAATATCTGATATTGAAATAAAATGGCTTTTACGATATCCTTGGGCATTTATAATAGCTTTCAAATGGAGAGCAAGTTCTCATCGGTGGTCTGCAAAAGGTTTGGAGGCCAAAACCAGAGGAGACAAGATGAGAGGGACACGCAGGTGTGAGATTAGTGGTAAAAAAATCTTTGCAAACACACAAAAAGATAATCCCAGATGTGTTGAACTGCTGGCTGTGGGCTCCTCTCCATGTGGCCTCAGAGAGTCTGTGGTGCAACACTGTCAACAGCGCACATGCACGCGTGAGCAACGCTGCCGTTCAGCTGCAAAAGCAACACCTCGACCAGCTGGTGGTGAGCTCTGAAAGTCTCCGTCACTGCTTCTGCACAGCTGCACTTTAACCTTCCTTCTCCCCTTTGCTGGTAGTTGTATTTCTCTGTCAACACTTTATCTCTAATAAGTGATGTCATCGACATCCAGCCAACAAATCCAGCCAAATCCAGACAAATGTGGACTTTCATTCAAAATGATTGAATCTGAACATGAAGGTTAAAACAGGCCGGGGATTTTCCTGTCACACAAACAGTCATGGCTGCGTTTTGGTGGTTCAGCCTCCATCACACCTCGCGCTTGTTTTTATTTTCCCGTTCGGTGACCAAAAAGAAAATCACACAGAGACAAGCTGAGAGTTACAGTTACAAGACTCTACGAGACTCTGTGTTGATTTGCTCTGCGTCTGAACACGTCTTCTTCTGATGTTTGTGGTCAGTTTGCACTTTTAATTGTTCAGCAGCAGGTCAGCGTGGCCCTGCAGGCCTTTACTGGACATAGGTCAGAGGTTACACCACATCACACTCGTAGGACCTATCAGATAAGACTGACAGTCTATGAGGAGGAAGAGCTATCCTCTTGTGCTTATAGCTGTCTACAGAGCTTTGACTTCATGATTTTCCCCTCAGGTGAGCTCAGACTACATTGAGCTGTTTCTTCCTGTGTTTCTCACACCTCGCACAGCATGTCTGCCATGTTTCACAGCTCCCCGGAGACCAAAACTGCAGGCCAGATGAGATGTAAATAAACTGAACAGAGAAATATGAAAGGTATCATTTTTGTCGTCTTTTACTTCCGGCCCTATTACACAGAGAAACAAAGATAGATGGATGTGAAGGAGCCCCGGTTCGGCTCCGAGCTGCAGTCCCAGCTGCCTCCTCAGGCTATCTGGTGGCAGCGTACACGACATGTGTCTCCAGCCGTCTCTCTGATAAGGGCTTGCAGCCCCTCTTGGCTTTGGCCTGGAAATTTAGAGCGGCGTAGTTCAGATCCTCCGAGGCCGTCATCTGAAAATCGAAAGGTTCACGCTGACACTTGAGACTTTACAGTTGTGCTGGTAATAGATAAGTACTTAAAAAGTAACAAAAAGTCAAAAGTAACTCCATGGTTGATATAAATCTAAAGTTTATCTAACAGTTAGAGTTGGAAAATGGGCTGGAACAGCACTAATGATGAGACATTGCCAGCTTGAGTTTTATGTTTGAGGCCGTAGTAAAGATGTTATTTACAGATAAAGTGTTTCTCTAAGTTAATTCATTTAAAAAAGTGCTTTACCTCATTCTTTCTTGGTGGCTGTTTTTCCTTCAGAGCTAAAAAAACAACAAAAAAAACAAGTTAATTCTGTTTGTATAACATGTTGATTCATCCATACTCTGACAGAAAGAAGTGTGTTAGCAGCAGTCGGCCGTACCCGTCTGAAGTCTCCTGATTCTTACAGCTAGAACAATGACCACCACAGTCAGGAAAACACTCAGAGCTCCCAGGATCACACTCATCAGGTATCTGATTCCATCAGCTTTTCCTGCTAGATATTCACACACAAAACATTTCAATGTGGGAGCTTTCTGTTTGGCTGACAGTGATATCATCTTCAGAGAAGGTGAAAAACTCACTTCCAACGTCTAAATGTGCCTTTGCATTACCTGGAAAGAGAACACTTGTGGGATTAAATGTGACTAACATGATCGCCTCAGGGCTGTTTGAATGTTTCTGTGATAACAGCTATAAGCAGCAACAGTTTAGCACATTGGCATTCACCGAAGATTCCGGTCTTACCTTGAATGACTAACTTTACTTCGCTGCCAAGAACTGTGTTTCTCTTATTGTAGACTCCACAGAAATACAGCCCAGAATCAGAGAAATCCACTCCTTTGATTTGGAGAAAAACAGTACTCAGGTTGGAGCTCATATTAAATTTTCCGCTTTGAAATCCATCACAGAATGAAGCTTCACGGTGAGCCTCAAGCAAAGAGGACACACAGCTGGCTTTAGATTGGTTGACCACTCGGAACCACTCAATGAGTTTAGAAGATTTAGAGATGTTGGAGCACGTCAGACTGACGTCTTCCCCCAACCGGACCTCCAGAGTCTGGGACTCACAGCTCCAGCCTGAAACAGAGAGCAGAGAGACGGTCACATGCTGAATATTCAGCATTCAGGTGACTCCACGTGGCCGTGCTTACTGAGTCTGCAGAGAGACAAAGCTGTGATCAGGACTAAGCTCCTCATCGTGTGGCTCAGAGTGGCACTGTTTGCTGATCTCTGCTCTTATGAATCGGTCCAGAGGAGCGGGGTGTTTTCTCCTCCTCGTGTCGTCGAGCAGAGTGACGTAGCGACGCTACTGGCTTCTCACGTGGTGGTTTGACACCTGTCATCCTGTCAAATCCTGCGTCTAAAACGCTGATGGAACCAATGTACATAGAATGTGTTAAATCTATCTCATGGCTCTTTGCACCTGAAGACAGATATAACTGAATTATAACAGCATGACTGAAAGTTAAAACTAATACAAAGAAGGGAAAATGAGTAAAAGTAGAATTTTCAAATTGAGAGGGCTCATGTTGGTGCGCATATGAACAACACAAGTTTAGCAGTTTTTTAGCAGTTTGAGCAAAAAGATGTTTATTCGCTCACAGGTTAGGGTTAATTTTGGTGTGAACTACATATCGAGATGGGAATTACAGAGTAAAGCTCAACTGAGAACTTTCTATTATACATATAAACCACCCAACTGCCCTTCTTTCATAGGTTTGTGGAAGATATACACTTGAGACTATCAACAACAGGCCTGCAGGCCCTTATGAAGGTGAGCTTTTGTTACTGGTCAGGCAAAAGGATGATTCCCATGGTGAGATGTCTCATTTGGTAAAATAACAGAAAATATTTTCCATGTCTAAAATGGAGGCCCAGCCATCGTAAGGTATTAAGACATATAACCCCACAAATGTACTAATCTGTGAAATGATTAATGGAACTAAACGACGAATAAAAATGATCCTGGCTCGGTGCTAAGCTAGAGTGACATTCCTTTATCTATTTTGGAGTCTGAAAGGGAAGAAACATGTTTTATTTATCCTCTGTCTTCTAGACTTTGCTGCTTGGGAGCAATGGAGAGGGGTCCTGTCCAGGGTCCTGTCCAGGATGGTGAACACCGGCTAGATCAACTTCCTCATTGCAGGAAACCTGCCATACTTGTGAATAAGATGCCTTGATTCTTAAACTTCTTTACGTATAAACTGGTCCTAATACATTTCTTTCGACTGAACGGATGCAATTTAGGTGACTTTAAGATGTACAAAGCAGTAGAAGCTTACAATGATAAAGTGAGTGTGTAACGATGGCAAGACACAGGTCTGGTTTCCTGAAGGCCACATTCACTTTACACAGATGGGACGCAGCTGGGATTTGAACCGGGGTCCCTCCAGCTGTTGGGTGACAATGCTAACCAGTATTCATTCCCGTTCAGGTCTATTTCTGTTTTTTTTATTTTGTGTTTGTTGGTGTGTGTTTCCCTGGTTGCTTCCTTTGCAGCAGGTTCTGTGGCACACCTATCCTCAATCAGTCTAACACAACTGGTCTAATGTTTGTTTATTTCTTTTGCAGCCCCGCAAGCTCATTCTCCGTTAAAGAAAATTAAATTACAGATAGGCTGAAATGGAAGCCACTGACCTCTGACATTAAGTCCATTGCAATTAATGATCCAATCATCAAACCATCTATAGTCTAAATCACTTATTCCTGTTGTGGTCACTATTATTGTGAGCAAGTTGGAGCACAACCTGGACAGGTTGCTAGCATTTTCAGTGAAATTGAAAATGTGGGAGAAATAGCAAAAGCAATAGAAGGCAAAAAGGAAAGACGGCTTTATCAAATCGAAAGTAACACAGAAGGACAGAGAATTATTGGGCGGGAAAGGAGACAAAGACAAAGATACAAAGTTTAAATAGAATCTAAATTAAACTGGGTCAAATTGATTTCCTTGAATGTAACTGGAAATGTTATGAAGAGCATGAATTAAAGTTGATTTTTGCAGGACATTCTAGTTGAGCTGGTGGAATAAATGAATGCCCAGAAGAAGCATTAGCAGAACTCAGCTTCACCCCCCACAGGCTCCTCCTCCATCAAACACCAACCAGGTTGTCACGTTCATAGAAAAAGGCAGAACAAAAGGACGAGGACAGACTTAAATATCTTAAATATAGTTTATTCTCCTCAAGACGTAACAGAAAACACAGAACCAAACAGGTTTTGATAAGTGGTTATTTTCACTCTGAGCGTGGGTCGTCATTGGTGTGGGGTCCATGTGGTGCAGCATACACCACATGTGTCTCCAGCTCTCTCTCTTCCACGGGTCTTTTGCTTGTTTTTTCTTTTGGATGAAACCTCACTGCTGCATAGTTGAGGGCTTCAGAGGACGTCTGTGAATTAAAATGGTTACAGTAACTAATATAATGACTGAATATATGATTACTAAAAAAAAACATAATGGAATCAGACTGTGATTACCTCAGTGTTTAGTGGATTTTCTTTGTCAGTTTGAGCTGAAGGACAACAACATTTAATCTGGTAATTAAGTTTTTTCAATATTTGGAATTTATACATGTTCTGAATCCCCAACTAATATGAAAACTTACTTGCATGAGATATCCTGATTCTGACAACCAGACAGATGATGACTGTTATGATTAGAATAGTTCCACCTCCCAGGATGATGATCAGTTTATTTGTTAACCCATTACATGCATCTACAGGAGAGATTGTACACAACAGTGTTATTTTTGGAGTAATTACACAGTCACTACAATATCAATGACTTAAATCTTACCTTGAACCTGTAAATGCGTCGCACTGACAATGACCGGGTGTCCATCTCTGTAAAATCCACAGAAATAAAGTCCAGAGGCGGATAAATCCACTTGTTTGATGTTCAGAAAAAGGTTTGTGGTGTTGGAGGTCATTTTGAATTGATCATTTTTAAATCCACCACAAAGTGAAGCATTGGAGAAGGAACTGATCATATATACGATGCAGCTGGCATTGAGTCTTTCGGACAGTTTGAACCAGAATATGTGAGTAGGACCTTTGCTGAAGTTGGAGCACAGCAGAGTGACCTCTTCTCCAGGCTGGACCTCCACGGTGTGAAACTCTGACACCGACACAGAGACCCAACCTGAAACAAACACACAGAAGAAGCAGTCAGTAAGTTCACGTTCAGCAAGAACTGAGCTATGAAAGCCATTTTCTGGGGAATCTCAGCGCAGATACAAGCAAATCAAAGCATTTCTCTGTACTCACTGAAGGCGCAGATTAAAGCCAAAATCACTGTGAAGCTCATCTTTGTGCGCACGGCAGGACTCCGTCAGCCAAATGTTAGAAAGTGAACTGTGCACCAGTTACTGGAGCTACTGTACGGAGGCGGGCTGTTCTCAGCGCCTCCACTTATGAGAACAGCACTGACGATGCTTTGGAGAAAAACAATGACAACCAACTGCTGTAAGAAGAAAACACTGTTACCACCTTAAATTAACATTTTGGCAAATTTACCCATTGCTCAGCATATGGACTGAATACAGCCGAAGATTCAGAAACTGTTTCTAATGCATAGAAGCGTTTGGCATTATTTTAAACTCGGAAAATGGCGCAGAGTCCTGAAAGTCTCCAATTATCAGAAATTTTCTAAGCTTATTAAAAAAAAGAAAACGTCACCTTGCAAACTTTTTTGCAAACAAGATATTTGTTCATACACTCCAGTCTGTCAGGCTCTATAATGGCTGGAATGTTCAAGGAAAATCAATCATACCATTAAGAATGGCCTTTTGTAGCGTCAAAACCTTTGTGAGACCTTCACTCTATTTGTGACAGCTGAAATGTAGTTAACCGTCCTGATCAACTAATGCCTGTGTTGAGAATTAAATAGTGACGACAAACGTTCCAATAAGACTGAAATGTGCGAACCAACAAGATGTTTTTTTTCTCAATATCAATGAGTTGCTGCCCAAACACAACAAACATTAACTATAAGCAGCTTTAGTCCAGTAACTGAGTCCCTTTGAGTGTAAATCGTTGTTGAAATTGACATTTGCTCATGGTTCTCATGCGTGCCTCCGTGGAGATGGGCGAGGTGTGACTGGCTGTGGTTTTGAATTTCTGTAACGCCTGCAGAGGTGCAACACTTGAGCAGAGAGCGGGCTTTGATACGAGGCAGTGCAAGTGTCGCTTTGCACTAGGGAGGGCGTCGGTACTGTACGGGAATGTTTGAGGAGGTACAGAATGGGTTCAGCTTGTCTGTGGTCAGTGAAGCAGCACTTTTTTTTTTTTTTTGAAGACGACCCACACTGATCTTTTTCAGTTCATCTGAGAGAGACGTGATGGTTTTCAGGTGTTGTCAGACCGCACCGTGCCGTCTCTTCCTGTCTGTCAGCATGTGAACCGTTCTGTTTATTCTGCCGTCAGTGAGCTCACAGGCTCCTCCTCCATCAGTTTTCACCCATTCACAGAGAAGGGAAGAGTTCCAATCGAAACAGAATTCATGATCAGGTAGCATTTTTATTGGCAATGTAATTCAACAAAATACACACAACCTTCAATAGATTTTTTTTT